TGATACATGGGACACAGTTCTATTAAAAATTTATTCATTGTTTAGCTGAAATTCAAATTTACCTGGCATTCTGTATTTTTATTTGCCAAGTCCAGTAACCCTAGAAAAGATGCTAGAATTGCCCCCAAAGAGGTACCATTCACTTTTGACATTTCTCAAAATAAAAAGATGATGTAAAAGTTTATGAAGGAATATCTGTGGCACAATAGCATCAAAAATAATAAAATACTTAGGAATGAATTTAGCCACAGAGAAAGAGCTTCGCTCTGTAAACTACAAGGCATTGATGAAAGAAACTGAAGACGACACAAATAAATGGAAAGCTATCCTCTGGTCACGGACTACGAGAATTAATACAGTTACAATGTCCACACTACCGAAAGCCATCTATAAATTCAGTGCAACCCCTATCAAGATTTCAATGGCATTTCTTACAGAAGTGGAAAAAACAATCTTAAAATCTATATAGAATCACAAAAGACTGAATAACCAATACACTTATGAGAAGGAAGAACAAACTAGAAGGCAACACCCTTCTTGATTTCAAGCTAATTTATAAAGCTAGAATAATCAAAGCAGCATGGTATTGGCATAAAAAGATACAAAGACCAGTGGGGCTGAGTGGAGAGTGCAGAAATGAACCCATGCATGCAGCCAACTCACGTTTGGCAGGGGAGCCAAGAACACTCAGTGGAGAAAGCAGTCCTTTCAGTAAGTGATGCTGGGAAAATTGGATATTCATGTGTCAAACAATGAAACTGGACCCATATCTTACACCACTCACAAAAAGTTAACTTGAAATGGATTAATGACTTAAATGTGATACTAGAAACCATGAAAATCCTAGAAAAAACATAGAAGCTCCCTGATGTGGGTCTCGGCAGTGACTTTTTGAACATGACACCTAGAGCACAAAGGTACAGGTAGGAAATAAGTGGGACTACACCAAACTAAAAAGCCTCTACAATGTAAAATAAACAAAATGTAAAGCTAACCTACAGAATGGGAAAAAATATTTGCAGTCCCTTATATCTTACAAGGGATTAATATCCAAATTATATAAAGAACTCACAATAGCAAAAAAATCCAAAAACAATCCAATTAAAAATGGGAAAAGGACCTAAACAGACATTTTTCCAAAGAAGATACATGAATGGCTAACAAGTTCGTGAAAAGATGCTCAACATCACTAACTGCCGGGGGAATGTCAATCAAAAGTACAGCGAGATATCACCTCACGCCTGTTAGAATGGAGAGCGTCATTCATAAATGCTGGCAAGGATGTGGAGAAAAGGGAACCCTTGTACACTGTTGGTGGGATTGTAAATTGGTGCAGCCACTATGGAAAATAGTACACAAATTCCTCAAAGATTTAAAAGTATGATCTAGCAATTCTATTTCTGGGAATATATCCAAAGGAAATGAAAAGACTTTGTCAAGAGATATCTGCACAATGCAACATTATTTACAATAGCCAAGACATGGAAACAACCTAAGCACCCACTGATGGATGGAGATAAATGAATGAATGAATGAACATTATTCAGCCAGAAAAAGGAGGAAATCTTGTCACTTGCAACAACATGGGTAGACCTTGAGGATATTACGCTAGGTGAAATAAGTCAGGCAGAGAAAGAGGAATACTGTATGGTCTCACTTATATATGGAATCTTAAAAAAAAAAAAGCCAACTCACAGAAAAAGAGATCAGATCTGTGGTTACAGAGATGGAGAGGGGGAGGGGCAGAAACTGGAGGAAAGCAGTCAAAGGTAAAGACTTCCAGTTACCAGATAAGTACTAGGGATGTGAGGTACAGCAGGGTGACTCTAGCTGACACTGCTCTGAGGTATATATGAAAGTTGTTAACAGAGTAAATCTTGAGTTCTCTTCACAAGGAAAACAACTTTTGTATCCATATGAGGTGATGGATTTTAACATTGTAGTAATCATTTCATAATACATGTATGTCAAATCATCATGCTGCACACATTAAACTTCTACAGTGCTCAATTATTATCTCAGTATAGATCTCAAACAATCAGGAGAAAAAATATATGTGGGGGAGAGATAATCTGAGGGCAGCATGGTGTTTAGTGCTTCCTGATAAATAATCTTATAGAAAGCCAACAGAGATTGGGTCTGGATGTCTATTATCATGCCTTCTCTGATAAACTGAATTATCTGAAGGAGTCATGCAAACTGTAATGCACTGTTCTGCCGGATTTGCTTCATTTTCCCTTTTATGTGCCCACCTACAGTCCCCAACCAGGACAGAAACTGTCTTTTTTTACTGGTATCCTAAAAAAACCGGACAAAATGTCTGGATCCCAGTAGGTGCTCAGAAGTCTTAAGAGATGGTAACGAAGGTGAGAGAGACACCTTCAGACACCTTGGTCTGAAAGCCCACGGATGTTCTCACAACCTCACTGGGCACTTACTGTGCTCCAGGAGCCAGGCCCGAGGCCAGTGGAGTTACCTGGTCTGGGACTAGAGCTGGTCTGTGCTTTCAGACGAGTCCATCCGAAGCCCTTCTCTGGTCTGCTCCAGAACAGATGCTCCGTCCCAATACCAGCCCAAGCAGCAGCCTCCCTGGTCACCTGTCAGCGGACCACTGCCAGAGTATAATTTTACTGGACATTGTGAAGGGCAGCCTTAGTTCACTAAGACCCTGGTGCAGTTGGCATGGCCAATCATGCCTTTTCCTACCTGGTAATGAAACCTTATTAGAAACAGCGAGAAGCCCTTGCTGGGAACAGGAAGCACTGGTCAGCCCTGGCTATCCCTGCCAAAGGATGATCAGCTTCATGAGATACCGCAGCTGCTTTTTGAGCTCAGGAGCACAAGAGGCCGAGTGCCTGTGGCCTGGCACAGCGTGCTGCCAGGTGGAAACACGAGGGTCTGCAAATCCTTTCTCCCCTTCCTCCAGTGCCGGGAACAGCTTCTACATTCTGGAAAACGCACTGCCATTCAGACACAAAAGTACCTCCTTTTGATGGCTGACCTTTAGCGGCCTTCCAGCTGTTTAGGTTAGGGATTTAGGTTGTGGCTGCGGGGCAAAAAATTAATTGTAACAAATAAGAAAGAAAAGAAGCAGGCCTCAGTGTATGGCACATCCATCTGCATGTGCCCCCATCTCCTGGGTGGCCCTTGTGCCCAGCACCCTGGGAGTGTGCAGCCATGGAGGGGATTAGTGCTTCACAGAATGTAGTATTAGGTGGTGTCTTGACTATTTCTGTGCCTCAAACAACAAACAGAATTATGTAAAGGTGTTGTGCAAACCGTAAATAGCTGTCCTGCCTGTGTGACTTTTTAATATACTTTTATGATCCTGGAAGCCAAAAAGGAAAACGAGTTGGCAAAATTTCAACCAGGAGACTCCATTTCTTGCCTTCCTTCTCTTCCAAGCTTTTGTAAGGGTAAAAAAGGTTTCTTTTTTTTATGTCAACTGTAGCTATTTGGCACCCAGGCTTGGGGGGAGGGTGTCTTCAAATGTTCCCATATTGGACACATCCTTCTGTCTGGGTTAGCAGCTTATGAGGACAAAGACTCAACGTAGATATTTTTATCTGTAATTGTGTTTGACAGGTGGACTGCCAGAAGCTTGAGGGAAGAATTAAGAAATTAGGGCTGGGCTGTGGTGTACATGTGTGGTTTTGGAGGCAGTGACAGCCTGTGGTAGGACACAGGTGGTGGTTTCAGTTTTAATCAGAAGGCAGGGGAATCTTACCTGGGTGGGTGGCAGATTCGTGAACTATGTTTGACTGGGATGGTCTCTGAGAGAGCAGGGAAATACCCTGAAAGAAAAATCTGAGGCTGCAAGTGGGGTAGGCAACCACCACTGAATCAATCCCCCAGACTTAAACTGAAGTTCCCTTTAAACCGATTGAGAGGTGCTTTGCCATAGCAGTGAAATGTGTATGTCTGCACATTAATAGCCATGCAGAGCGCATTAAAGAGACCGGAATGCTCCGGGATGCCTATAATTATGAAACACGCAGTGAAACACCATCCCATCTCCCCCTCTAGCAAGGGTGGTATTTTTGTCCCAAATTGTGGCAGTCTTGCAGGCTATGAGCACAACTCTTGACCAAACAGCACACTTCCACCGGTAAGCCTGAGAGCAGCTGGCCCGTGGATGATGAGGCAGGCAGGACCTTGCTCAAGGACCCTTCCAGAGCCTTTGTGAATGGCACCATGAGCACAGGCCGGGCAGGTAAAGTGACACCCATCTCCACCTGAAAGGTGAACAAGGTGGGCAGAGTGGAAGCAGTGCACAAAGCATTTATTTGAAGAGGGGCAAGGGAGGTTGCTTAAGCTACAGACTACTTAAATGAAGGCAGAAAGACCCTCCCCACTTCCAGGAAGGTTTTCAGCTCAAACTTAATCAACCAGGGAAGCCAGCTGGAGTGGGGTGAGGAGTGGGGGGACATGGATGGAGAGACGTGGGAGCTTGTCAAGGAACTTCATCGGTCAATTGGTGAGGAAGGCAGCAGTTTCTTCATGAAAAGAGGAAGTTTCTTCATTAGCTGAAACAACAAACACTATATATGAGCAACAGAAGACCTGGATGATGAGAATTAGTAAGGCTATCACAGTAGGACTATAGAAAGGCAGGTGTCTCATGGAAATAATTGGCCTGTGCAACAAGACAGTTTGGGTTTCAGACTTCTGCTCAATTTGTTATTAGTGACCATGGGCAAATGACTTCAGCTTTCTAAGGTTTTATTTCCTGTCTGTAAAATGGGGAAAATGATGTAGTCCTAGCAGGATTTGGGGTAGAAATGAAGGTAAAAGGAGCTTAAGACTGTGTTGGCACATAGTAGGCACTCACTAAATGGAGTTCTTATGTTCTTGAAGAAAATTCAGCCTAACAGTACTTTTTGTATTTGTTCAAAACAATTTTGGGTATTTATTCAGATGTTCATAGGTATCTAAAAAACCAGCTTTGTTAGGAACATCTAGCTTTTATAATCAGCAGAAATCAATTCAATAAAAAGGCAGTTGGAAAGAGCTGGATGACATATTTTCCATTTGGATGGAGGGAGGGTTAGGTTGCCTCCGCACAGCTGTCTTGCCTTCTGAGGAAAGAGACATTACGTGGCGCATTGGCGAGAGCCGGGAGAACTCTGCGTTCTTTCCTTCCCGGGTCAGTAGCACATCTGGGCTGGTTGCTCTTCCTCCTGTTGCCGGGCTCTGTCTCCACCTCCCATGTGGTCATGGGAAAATCCTTTTCTGCTCTGAGACCTTGTATTTGCTCTGGGATCATAAGGGGTTGGACTGTATTATCTTTAGGTTGTTTCTTAGAGCTGATACTCCGTTCCTTAGGCAATGTATGCCACACATAGGAACCTGGATGGGAATATGGAGATATAAAATTGCGATAAAATAAAGATTTGGATTTACTTAAAGAGCTGGGAAGGAAGCTAAGCCCCCAGGCTTAGGCATATGCTCCTGGAATCTTTACCCATTAAAAAAAGACTAAATATATACATATATATGTGTGTGTGCATGTATATACATATATGTACATATACACACATACATACATATACATGTGGATGTACACTGGCATTCACATCCTCCAGTATAGAGGCTAAAAAGCTAAATAGTTACATTCCCAGCTTCCCCTGCAGGTAAGCATGGTCATGCGAGCAGGTTCTGGTCACGCAGACATAAGGGAGAGGCCACTGGAGGCCTGTACAAAATGTTTTTCCTAAACTGATAAAAGACGAGGGCCACACAGGAAAAGCCTTCTTCTGCCCCCCTCCCAGTCCCTCCCCTTCCTCTCAACATGAACGAGGGAATGGCGTCTGCAGCAGTGACAGGCATTTGCCAGCCAGGGTGACAAAGATGAAGACACAAAGCCAGTGTATCAGGGATGGTATGTCAGAAAGATGAACAGGGCTTGGGACCTTAATGAAATTACTGAGCCACCTAGACCACCTTATGTCTGGAACTCTTAAATAAACATGCTCATGTGCTTAATGCCCAAAGAGTGGCTTGTGGGCCAGCAGTTTAGTCATCACCTGAGAGTTTTGTAAGAAATGAGGAGTCCCAGGCCCCACCCCAGACCTTCTGAAGCACAATCTGCATTTTAAAAAAATACTCAGGTTTTGGGTATCTTGACCACACATTAAAAGTTCAGGAGCATTTGTTCATTGTGCCATTTAATTAGGGTCTGTTACCTGCAGCTGAAAGGATACTGCATATGTGCTCAGTATGTGTGAACACATGCATGTATGTCTATGTGGGCATATGTGTACACCTGTACATATATACACACACACCCATATATGTATGCATACATGTGTGTATAGCATGTGTTTATATGCATACAGAAATACATAAATGTATATAGGAATAGAGGAACCCTGGAAGGACACAGCCATGCTGTGGGAGTTGAGGTGTACATGTCTGCTGGGGAGGTTGGGGGTGATTTTTCCTTCTTACCTTCATTATTTCTACAGTGTTTGAAATTCAAAAATTTTTAAACCCATGAATATGTACTCCTTTTATAATTAAGGAGCAAAGAGCCGTACCCGCTCTCCTCCCGGTCCAGCAAGGCGTGGCAGGCCGCCACGTCGCTCTGCAGCTGGCACTTGAGCGCCAGCAGACGCTCGTGCACCTGCTGCCCCAGCTCGGCCTCGGCGAGCGCGTCGCGCAGCTCCGCCTGCAGCCTGCCGACCACCGCGCCCAGGTTCTGGAGCTCCACGTCGTGCCAGTGCTGGGCGTCGTGCAAGGTGTTCTCCAGGCTTCGTTTCTGTAAGAGAGGGAACGTGGTCCAACCCTGAGGCGCACAGGCAGGGCCCTGGGAGGAGGAGGCGCGCGGGGCAGCGGGAGGGGCCCGCCCCCGCGGGGTCTGTGCAGGTCTCCGGGCAGTGACCTTGCCAGTGTTCCGGAGCTCCGAGGGGACAGGGAAACCTCCTCGGGAGGCCGGGCTCTTGCTTGGTCTAACTGCCCCTCCTGATCGGCGGGGCGGCGCGGGCGGGGGGTGCGGGGCAGGAGAGGCGGGAAGGACGGAGGGCGAGACAGATGGGGTATGATAAGGGCGAACGGGAAAGGGGCGGGCAGAACGAGGGGAGACGCGGGAGGGCGAGATTCACGCGCGCACACACACACACAAGCAGGCCGTGCGCGGCTGTTTTTCCAGTCTTGCTCTCCGAACTGCCGCTGGGCCTTCTGCTCGGGATCTCTCACCCCCCCCGGGCCCTCCCTCACGCCACCGCGGACCCCCCTCCATCTCGGGGCGAGGACGCCCCTGCTGCGGCACCCCTCGGCCGCAGTTAGAACGGACGTCTCTGGCCTTCATAGACCCTGCATTCTTTCTTCCACGGTTTAGTGGCACATCTGGGCTAGTTCCTCTTCCTCTTGCTGCCTGTCACTGTGGGCTCCCCAGCCCCATCCTGAGCCTGTTTCTCTCTGCGCTGTGCTCCGGGGCCTGCGTTAGTTGGTCTCTCGCACATGGTGATGCCAGTCTTCTCTGCCCACGACTCCCGCAGTGACTCTCCCAACGCAGACCTCTCCTTGAGCCCAGATTCAGGACTCAGCTTTTTCCTGGAATTGTTTGCCATCCATGGGTCCCTCAAATGAAGGTGTCCCAGATGGCGCCATGGGCTTTCCTCTGAACCCCTGGGCGCCTCCTCTCCTCTGCCTCAACTGGTGAATGCACATGAACTAGAAGCTGGGAAAGACATGCCCCGACCTTCCTTCCCTTCCAAGTGCAATCCTTACTGAGTCCTGCTTCTTGTAGAATCTGAAGAGCACATACGTGTCATCTTCTCCAGCCACCAAGGCCCAGGCTCAATGCTTTGCTCCTCTCACCCGGGCTCCCCTCAGTAGCCTCTTCGCTCCCCCCCCCCACCGCCACAGCCTCCAGTTCCTCCTCCTCCTGCATTGCCACACAGCAGCTGCTGTGCTCTGCCTGAGGCCAAATCTGCAAGCGCATCTCCTCCTCCTCACCTGGCTCACTCCTACTCATCCCTAAAACCAAGGTCAAGGATCACCTCCCCTGGGAAGCCTTCCTTGATACTCTCTTGCCCCTGCTGCCACCAGGCTGGGATAGGGGCCCCACTGGGTTTCCATGGCTGCCCAAGCACATGCATGCCTTTGAACTTAGGCTCATGGGCTGAGCTTCTTGGAGGCACGTCTCCCTTACCAGATGGTGAGCTCTGAGAGCAGGAAACCCAGTGACAGGGCCTGGCACAGAGTGGGTGCTCCTGTGTGAATGTATTGCCCAGGATGACAACACTTGAGTTATGGTTACACTTACTGCCTACCTGTCTGTCTTCCCGTTAATCTGGAAAGTCACCTTCTCATATACCAAGCCCTGCAAACTGTACGGCTGACTAATAAACACCTTTAAAAATCCGTGTGCATCTGTCTTTAGTAGTTTTTAATAGTTGTAATTATGGTACACATATAATTCAGCATCTGGCTTTTTTAAAAACACACAAACAAATTTCCTTCTTATATAACACATAAGAAACAAATATGTATCTTCCTAAATTGGATTGAGTCAAATCTTGATGAATCAAGCTTTTGTACCCTGTCCCCCAGGAGCAGATTTTTCACACCCTTTTGGCCACTGTGGTTGAAATGGAAGATTCTTGGTCATGATGGTGTCTTGAATCATGGCTGCTGGTAAGCAAGGGCCACCATGTTATCTTATTTAAAGTTTCTTAGTTCCATAGGATATGAGGATGTTGAGCCAGATTCCCATCCCAGGTACATTTACAGGTGGCAAAGTGTGATCAGTGGGAAAAAAACTAGATCAGTATCTGGTCTGAGCTTATTGTTCTGCTGGTGAGATCAGGAAGCCCCTCAATGGCAGGGCGGGTGCAGAGATGGCCACCTGGATATGGGGAATCTTTCATTCCAATCTCTCTGACTTTTGCCCCTTTATCAGGACATTTTCTGGTCTGTGAGTGGTGGTTGTTGACACTGGACCTGTAACACCTGTGATGTGGAAAAACCCTGCACAGAATCACACTTGGATTTTCTGTCTGTGGTTTTTGCTCCATGCTCAAAGGTGACTTCTCCATGTGGCCTGGGTTTTTCTCTCATGACTTGGACCTACTACCCAGGGACTGGGTTAAAGAGAACCCCTGTCAGAGATCCTGGGTTTCTTCCATCTGTCCTCCAGAACGCACGTCCAACTTCCCCCCGTATGTCTGACATCCTGTTCTCACACCAGTGCCTGAGCCTCAGTGCCTGTGGGTATCCTGGCCTAGCCGCCTCAGTGACCCAGCACCAGCAGGCAGACTGAGATCACAGAAGCCACGTACTCCCCAGTCTCTAGAGACTGGAAATGACTTCCTTGAATTGCTGAGTCCTCTAAAAGTAAAATAGTGACTTTCTGTGATTTCTGGCCTTGAATTCCATTCCTGACTTGAGTTGATTGGACACAGAGCTCAGTAGGCCTCAAGCATCATTGGCGGTGCGTGGCTGCCAATATAAACGGTGCCTTGTTGACAAAGGGGCTGAAAGCATGGCCGGCGTGGCTGTCTGAGGCTCACGTAACCTGTGGGGCCTTGTGTGAGCTCGGGTTGTTCTGACTGACAGTGATACGGAGGGCGGGATGAGCTCCGCCGTATTGGAAAGCGGTAGGAGGGTGTGCTGCTGATGCTGGCTCAGGCTGTGCTCTTAACGTTGGCTGCAAGGCCCTGTGAACAGAACAGTGACCACAGCTCTGATCCAGCAGAGCCAGCACGGGACAGGCAGCCAGCCCCAGGTTCCAAGCACAACCAGCATGTCGCTGCTCCTGCCTTCTGGCTGGGGTGAGAGTTCTTCTCCCATTTGTTCCAGTAGTTAGCACCATGGGGTATAAGTGAGGGGAGCAGATAATGCCAATGTGTGTTTACTATACTAGTGGTTATAATAATAATTTTATAGTGATAATTAATAATAAATACCCTTTAGTGAGTGCACTCTCTGTGCCAGGCACTGTACTAATGGCTTGACGCAAGTTAATTAGTCACCCCATGACTTTATGAGGGGAATTCTACTTTGGGCCAGTGGCAGATCTCATTTCTGAAGGCAGCTGCACCAGTCATTCCCTTCCCACGTGCTTTCTCCGTGTGACCCTGCCACTGCCTCATCGAAGCGTGGAGTTTATTTCCCTGCCCGTGGAACCTGGGCTGGCTGCCACGGCTTTGACCAACAGAAAGCGATGTTCAGGGACTTTGAGCTCAGGTGAGGAGAGGCCTGGTAGCTTCTGTGCTCACGCTCTGAGGGAAGCCAGATGCCATGTCAGACGTCCAGCTACATAAGTCTGCCAGGATATGAGGAAGTCTAAGGTAGATCCATGGAGAGAGAAAAAGAGATGCGCAGCTGAGGCAGCAGACATGTGAGCTGAAGAAGCTGTTCTTGGGTGCTCCAGCCCCAGCAGATGCCACGTGGAGCAGGGAAGAGCTACCTCTGTGAACTCTGCCTAAATCACAGAATAAGTGAATGAATTACTGTGCCTGAAGCCACAACACAGCAGATCGATGTGATAACAAGAATAGATCCTCACTTGGTAAGTGAGGAAACTGAGTCTTAGAGAGGTCACACCGCTAGCGAGTGGAAGAGCCGGGATTCAAGGTGCCAGAGGCCGCCTGCCAGCCCTGCTCCCGGGGGCCGCCGCAGGCTAGTGGGGGGCAGAGCCCCTGGGGCTTGGCTCTCCTACACCACCTGTGTTCAGACCCACAGTTTTCTGCAGAGTGGGATGGCTGTCACAGTCAGCCTCCTACTCAGTGTTTCTTCAAGGGTCCAGTAAGAGAACACATGTAGTCATGCTCTTACTATCACTTTGAAGAAATCGTGTTTTGGGCACTGTACCAAGTGCTTTGGTGACATGAAACTAATTAGACATGGTCCTTGCCCTCAATGAGTTAATGGGCTTCAGTGGATGAGCTGATACAACCATGCACACCACAGGACAGGTGGGCGGGATCACCCCCGATGTGCGGTGAGCATCTAGGTCTAGGCTCTGGGGCAGCTCTTCTGTGTCTCCCACCTCAACTTCAACTGTGCCAAGTGTGTGAGGGGAGGAGCAGGTAGAGGGGCTGGGGTTGGGAGGATCTCCCTCCAGCCACTGGAAGAACACACTCAAGGGCACAGGGCAGGGAGGAAAGGATGAGTTCTGGGCAAGAAATGAAGCTCAAGCTGGGTGGTTCTGGAAAAGCCAGCAAAGGAAGACATTCTGTTTAACCTCCAGGAGATCCCAGAGGGGAGGGGCACTGAGAATGCAGAGGGGAGAGGACAGCAGATAGAGGCGGGCCCCAGGTGGTCCACAGGGAACAGGTGCAGCCACCTGGAGGGAGGCGAGGGTGGGTAAAGCTTCAAAGATATTTTGAAGTGAGAAACAGAATCCAGAGACCTCATGTTGGGGACCTTCAACTTACCTGCAGGATGCGCAGGGGACAGCATTGGCTGAGGGACAGAGGTAAGGGTGGGCTGTGTCCTTGCCGGGAATGGAGACAGCTGGGAGCAGCTGCGCTGGGGAACAGTACCCTCTGCTGTGTTCAGTCATATGTGCCCAGGTTTTCTTTTACCAACCGGGTTATGAGCTTTTAGAAGACAGGAACCATCCAATTCCCTTTTGCACCCCCAGGGCCTGCCCAAGGGAAAGCTTAGCACATAGTGGGCCCTCAACACGTGTGTAGAACATGTGCTGAGTGATGGGCCACCCACCACCTAGATGCGATTTATCCAGAGTTGTTTTGGATGAAGGGGCCTTGAGGATATGACCCCAACGTTTTGCCTGGAACTTTCTATTACTGGCAGAGTGGCAATTTTGGCAGCTACGAGGAGTTATGGGGAGAAATGGCAGCCCCTACCGTGCCTAAAACAAGTTGGGCAAAAGGCAGCCTCCCTAGGATCAGGATCAAGGGTTATATTGATGAGTATAAAATTTGTATAACTCTGAATAAATAATGGAATCCTTTTCAATTTTCTGAGTAAAGGAGCATGACTTCAGGCTGCAGCTTCCTCACTTTTCTCCCTTCAGTTCCTTTTCTCCATCCCCTTGCACTGACCCAGATCCCGTCACAGTGAGTGGGAGAAACACGGAGCAAAGAGGTGCGTGTCATGTTGTGTCACGTCAGGGCAAGACTGACCCTCTTCCCAGAGCTGACCAGGTATCACGTGACCCTGTTGGCCAGAGGACAGTGCACCCAGGTGAACTGAGAACACTGGAAGGAACTGCAGGGTGGTGGGAAGACCCTGGACACAGGCACTGAAAAACCAGCTGGATCGAATACTTGAGCTAACATGGTGGCAGGTTGGGGGTTCAGGGGGTGGGAGTGCTGGCGGTTTGGTGATGGAACTGATCTGAGTGGCAAAATTGAGATGAGGATGAATGTGGAGAGGGGGTTAAAGGGGCGCCAGCAATGGTGTCTGAACAGCCCCAAGGCTTGAAGCTGATGGGAGAGGGACTTCTCAGGGTGCAGTGGAGTCCAGAGCCCCTCAGCCATACAAGGATGGGGTGAACCACCTTCTTCATGCACTCGGTGTGTACCACACGCATGCGGTTTGAATCAGTACACAAAGGCTCCTAGAGAGTGCATCTGGGAGAACTGTGTTTCACACCCAAACAGAACTTCAGTACATCCCAGGGACCAGAGGGCGGATTGCTGTATTCTTAATAATTACTTTGATGAACAATAATAATTAGTGCAAGAGATCTGCTCCCCAAACCACAGTGAGTCAGAGGAGCTTACTCAGTGTCTTTGTGGGTTCCCCAGAATCAGAGCTGGAGACAGGGATCCTGGTACATGTAAATAATTGAGGGGTTGCTTTCGGGAAGAGGGGTGTTGAGGAAAGCATAGGGCAGGGGAAGGCGCTGGGCCAGGACGTTGTCTCAGTTGGAGCCTGGATACAGCTGCAGCCCATGAAGAGCTCAGGATTGTGAATTACACCTTGGAGCCTGTTCCACTTTGAAGCAAGTGGGCTGGGCTTTCAACACTCCCTGTCAGTCAGTCATTGGTTGAGGGCTGGGCTGGGCGAAACTAAGATTCACAGCGCAGCCTTGTGAAGGGTATTTTGCAGAACACGAACGGTGCCTACCCCACGTGTCGTTCAGTGTCTGATGATCCTCTCAGGCCTCGGGACTGTGAGATGGGGAGCTCTTGCAAACTGTCAGCCGCATGACTGCAGTTCAACAGTTGACAGTCAAAATGACACAAGAAATGCCAGGGCTCTTCCTGGCCCACTCACCAGGGCCCGCAGGGATTCCGTCTCGGCCTGGAGGCTCTGCACTTGGCACGAAGTGTTGTGTAACTCCGTCCTGACGGCCGCAGCCA